TCTTCGATACTCGTCGTGTACGGACGCCGGGAAACTTCGTGAATAACTGAGAGCCGGCGAAACGAAAGGAACGAGTACACCGGAGAACAGCGGCGCCTTTAATTACGCGTCCCGTCGCAGCGCGGCGTCGCGCCGTGGGAGGAAATTGAAAAATTTAAGTCGATCGGAGAAGTTCGGGCGCGCCGCGATCGACGAAAATTGAATTCGCCCGTCGGACGTGCCGGCGTTCGCCGCCGGAAGAGGAGGAGCCCCGGCGGGGGATTTCCGGATGTCCTCGAGACCCGGTGTCTTCGTGGCCTACCGAACGTCGAATCCCAGGCGGCCGAGACGCACGAAGAAATAGGTGAAGAACGCCGGGGAAAGCGAGACTGGATGACGGAGAGTACTGTACGACTGACGTCGCGGCGGAAGACGAGGAACGCCGGCTGGACGGAGGACGCGAGGAAGAAGGAACGAACGGACACTCGAGCTTTGGCTGACGTCGCTTTACGTGCCGGCATAATGGCCCTTGTCTTCGCCGCAGTTCCGAGTTCTATTCAGGCTCGGGGCGAGTCGCCAGCCGCCGTGCAACAGCGACGCGATTCTTAAATCTACTTAGGGGAAACCCGACTTCTTTCCCGCCGTTCCCGTTCCGCGGCGACGCCTATTGTGCGGGCCGTCTTCGTCGCCGGCGTCGCGGGCGGAGGCAGCGCGAGGAGCGCCGTTGCCAGCGGTGTTTTGCCTAACGTCGTTTAATCGAATTTACCGTCGCCGGTGTACACATCGGGGATAAAGGCAAAGGAAGATTAATGGTCCGGGACAGGCGGTTGTTCAAGTATTCACGCCCAGATCGCTTTTGTTTCCCGTAACTACCATGTTTGTGCTCGTTAAACCGATTTGCTAGTTCGCGGCCGAACAATGGAGGATCGCGTTACGCCCGCGACAATATGATGCAAATCTGCAGCAGCACCGACAGCGGCGGCACCGTCGCGCGTGCATCGGCGTCGCCGATTATTGTATTCGATTACCGCGAAAATGACGGGCCCGCGAAATTTACGTGTCGCCGGTGCGGTTCGGGACGCGATTACCAGCCACCGGAATCCCTCAAAGTTGCGGATCCGAGATTGCTCGAGCGGAGGCCGGCTGACGGAGCGTCGATCGATAGTTCCGTGCGTCGTGTTATTCTTCCAGCTTCCAATAGTTTTCGTTACGGCTTGATTAGGCCGCTTTCTCGGTGTTCCCGGCGAGCCGTTCGCTCGCGTGTGCCCGCTCGGCCGTGATGACAATCCGATCGCGAGAATTCACCGGTCCGCTTCTCGTTCCGCCGACCCTTCCTCCCGACGCGCTCTTCATCGAGCTTGCGATACAAATTGAATCTGTTGCTCGTTCGTTCGCTATTCCGCTCGTAATGAGATCCTCGGATTGCCGGCGAATCGTAAACCCGGCGTTCGACGAGCGGGACTATAAACGATATTTCTTTAGCCGGGCGTCGACGTCGGCGTAAAAAATTCAGCCCCGGCGAGCCGTGCGCCGGGAGACGTTGCGTTTCTTCTGTCCTCGCGCGGCTATCCGTGGAAAGGGAGATACGGAAACCAGTGGCCGTGCTCGTCCGCGGAAACTCGATAAATAGAAGGTCTCATGTAGACGACGCTGTTGCTATTACCGTTGCCATTGCTGTTGCTGTTCCTGTTACGCTCGCGAGCGTAGAGATTATTTACGAGGGGGATGAGAGCGACTCGGCCGGAACGATCTCGGACGAGAAGTTGCCTTCCATTATTCAGCAATGTTGACCCGTCGGTCCCTTCGAAGCGCACGGACACTCCACCGATGGGTCGCCTAATTCACGCATTTCCACGGACATTTATCATGCGAACGCGACGGAGGAACGGCACCTAACGGCAATTCAGCGGCCGGATAAGAACCGGTCGTTTTTCAAGATCACGTTTATTTGAATTGTTATCGGCGCGGCTGTCCTCGCACACCTACGCGGCTTCGGGGGATCGAGAGTTCTTTCTGACCGGAGAGTGTACATATTTTTACCCGACGTTTCCGTAAAAGACTTTCATTGTTCTTGTCACTTGGAGAACGGAACTCGAGCCTGTGTACTGACAGCGTTGTAAGGATTTTAGCGGTGAAGCGTTCGAATATTTTTGAAGGAGGCGAATGTTGTAAGGAATGTATGATTAAATATATTAACCCTTTGCACTCGACAATATTTTTCAGTACAAACATTCATTGTTTTCTGACGAAATATTAACAATATCTGCAACTTACATAAAGAAACATCGTGCATAAATTATGGGGCAGAGTTGTTTTAGTTCTGTTTTATTTGTTAGTACCTGATTCAACATTTTATATTGAATTTTTCAGTTTGCAATTTTGTTGCATTCAATCAAATGGCGACAGAGTCGCCCCTCGAGTGTAAAGGGTTAACCCTTTGAACTCTGTAGGCTTCAATATTGCACCAGTTTCAATATTAAATATTTTAATGAATGTTAAAGAAACCATCCCAAATGTTCGATTTTACACGCATCCGAATTTTGTACTAAGGAAAATAAAAGATCGAAGAAATGTAGCATCTCTCATATTCGCTAGGAATACTATAAAAATCAGCAGTTGCTGATAGATTACAAAACAACCCGGCTAAGGGTTAATAAAACGGTAGGATCTATTATCTACAAACGATTCCCTTTGGGGATGGAAGACAAGGTTTAAAATGGCAAGAATTATAGTATCAAATGTATAGTAGTGTCATCTGTGGCGTTTCGCTGAAACCGGCAGAGAAACGACTGAAATTTGCATATCGTAGGTACAATCGACAGCAATATTACCGACGGCTCCTAAAATACCGATCACAGGTAAATCCGGTAATTAAACCAATTATTGGAATCAGCAGTAGAAAGAGACAAATTCTAGTCAGACGCGAGTAGATGCCTGCACGCGCGGTCGAGTTTATCTAGGACGCGTTCGAGAGCGACGTTATAGCTGCTAGGAAATTCGTATTTAAGCGGTCGCCTCCGAATAGGCGAAATAGGATGAGAACTGGCGTCGCGAGCCGCGCGCGACGCTTAGAATTTTCCAAATCCAATTACACGAAACGACGCAATTCTCCGCGGCGACGGTCGTTTCGCTCGGCTACAAGGGGTACGGTCGGGGGCGGTTTGTCATTACGTAATTAGAGGCTGCTCGGAAATCCGGGGCATCCGAGTGCAACGCTTCAAACCCGCGAAACGGCCGGATCCGTGTCAACATTCGTGCCGTTCACGGTAATGCATTTTCGTCGACGGAAAGCTACCGTTCGCCTGGCGGCGTTACGCGGCTCACCCGTTCCAGGCATCAAAGCCTGCGAGGCTTTATCCGGACTCCTTTGTGCTCCGTCTCTGTCCGACCATCGTGTTTGACGATGTACAATCAAGCGGCAATATCATCGGCGTCGGTGCACAATCCTCGTTTCTGGCGACCGACTTAGCCGCCGGAGTTCGCGCAAGCGTCTTCCGTCCTCGGTACGTCGACGTGACGAGGGAAAGGGTAGTAGTCCCCAGCAAATCAATACGTATATGTCCGCCAGTAACCGGCCAGTAGGAGCTCATCCTTCGTGACGGACGTATCGAAAATCCAACGAGCGCCGACATTTCTGAGGATCGTACGCTCCCAGTTCCAGTGAATCATCCCGTTGCCCGGGTGACGCGCATCCTACTCGTTCCACGGTGGAGACGCACGAGCCATCCGAGCGATCCTCGCCCTCTCGCCGTTCCGAGGATATCGGCCGAAAGCTGCCAGGCTCTTAGAGGTAACTGACCCTGTGCAACAGCGCGAACGTTCAGCGCTGGATCAAACGACCACTCCGAGCGACCGGTGACCTCGCCGCGAAACGACGATCGCCGAACCGCCACCATCCCCAGCATCCGTCGTTCCCCCCTTTTTAATTTCCCGTCGATGTTGTCTCGCCGGAATCGCGTCTGAGGCGCGCACGGTCCACGGATAAGCAAACGAAGCCAAGGGAGAATCGCGTCCGAAGGTTCCGGGCTACCGCCGTTGGAGACGTCGTCGTTCCCTATTCAACAGCGAGTAAGCGAGAGAGGGAAAGATCTTCGATCCCGCTGGCGAAAGAGCGTCGGGCTCCAGACAAACTCGTCCGAACGGAGTTGGGTAGCAAGCAGGTATCACGATCGAGCTACCGGGTTCTCGCAGGGCCGTCA